TTCCTTTTGTTTTTTATTTTCTTATGAAGGTGACATGGCATGTCCATGTGGCGATTTTGGTGGGACCAAGGACTATATCAGCCCACATGACAAATTTAAAGGACTTGTTTGGACAAAATGAAAGATTAAGGACTAAAATGACCCATGAGTGAAACTTTAAGGACCATATTAGCTATTCTCCCATTTTTTTCACTCATTGGGACTCAGTTTTACATGTCCTATTGTGTACTGTCCCCATCCATCCTAAATCGTGGCTTAACCACTGTCCACGGCGCCGCCTCCGTCTATTGGGGGGACTAATAGGCGATCGATCACCAAGCGATCGCCCAAGCGATCGGATCGGCCCCCCTCCCCTATACTCCATACACTCCTCCCTCCTCTTCCCCCTTCCTCCTCCCTTTCTTCTCTTCCTACTACAGTACACCACACAATTTTTTTTAAAAGAAACAAAAAGTTAGAAAAATTTATGTATATAAATACTATATATAAAAAAATTTGAATTCAAATTCAAATTTGAATCGGGTATGTAAACTTTTGACTTATAAACTTTAGGTGTATAAACTTTAGAGGTATAGAAATACTATATATAGAAAATATTTGAATTCAAATTCAAATTTGAATCGGATATAATTCAAATTCAATTTAAATTGGGTATGTAAAATTTTGACTTATAAACTTTAGGTCTATAAACTTTAGGTGTATAAACTTTAGATGTATAAAAATACTATATATAGAAAATATTTGAATTCAAATTCAAATTTGAATCAGATATAATTCAAATTTAAATTTGAATTGGGTATGTAAACTTTTGACTTATAAACTTTGGGTCTATAAACTTTAGGTGTATAAACTTTAGATGTATAAAAATACTATGTATTAAAAAATTGAATTCAAATTCAAATTTGAATCGGATATATAAACTTTTGACTTATAAACTTTTGGTCTCTAAATTTAGATGTGTAAACTTTGGGTCTCTAAACTTTAGATGTGTAAACTTAAGGTATATGAACTTTAGGTGCATAAATTTATTAAATAGAAAAGTAATGCGGTGCCAAAAAATGAAATCAGGTGGAGGGAGGGAGGGGGAGGGGGATTGATCGCTACCCCCGTCCCCAGGCGATCGATCACCGATTTGGATTTCCGGCGATCCTGTTCATTTCTTTGAAAGCGATCGGAACTGAGACGGACACGGATAGGGGGAGCCACACGGACGAGCCAAAAAACGAAATTTTGTTTATTTTGACTCAATCCGACTCATCCTCGCTTATTACTCCGACTCGGCTCCGGCGCGTTACTCCTGTATAAGAGAGGAGGCAAATCAACTCGACAGTGCGGAACAAACCAACTAGGCCATACCACACGATGGAGATCAATAACAATTTCGGCGGCGCAGTAGGATCGCTGCCGTCGGGCTTTGGCAAGAAGCCATGGTTGGTTCAAGCGCAGGGAACTGAGACGTTGTCCTTCGTCGACATATTGGACAGAAGCTTGCACGTGAGAGTTGTTCCTGATCTGCAAGGCAAGCTGTGCTTGGGATGTGTCCACGGCGGCGACTGGCTGCTCATGGTGGACGAGATCACCGGCGGCTGCTTCCTTTTCTGTCTCTCAAACTCGTCCACGATCTCGCTGCCACCGTTGCGGGAGCCGTTAGGAGACATGGGAGCATGCGTAGTGTTGGGGTCATCGCCGTTGAACCGTGACTGCACCGTGGTGATTACCAGTCTACCTGAACCGGAAGAGAGCTTCCTGCTCCATTGCCACCCCGGCGACGAGGAGTGGACCAAGCTGATGGTACCACTCGGCTCTGACAGGTTGTTCGGCAAACTCGTCAACTGCGCAGGACAGTTATACTCTCTCTCTTCCTTTAGGAAATTGCTCACCATAGATGTGATCGATGATGCTCTCCATGCTAAGATATTGAATATTGAGTGGGAGAGTTCATGCGGTCACAATTTTGAACCGTACATCGTCGAGTCGTGCGGCAAACTGTTCGTTGTCCTAGCATCGTTATACGGGTATCCCTACAACTGCCCGCTTAATGGGGTTTCCGTGTATCGTCTAGATCGAGCCGAGTCAATGCTTAAGAAGGTGGACGACATTGGCACCGATCGTGCCTTCCTCATCTCAGGTCACTATGGCTTCTCGTGCACCGCCATGGAAGGGCTGGTGCAAGGCAACTGCGTCTACATCGTGTGGTCAGGCTACGACTGCGAGAGGATTTACAAGTTCTGCTTGGATGATATGACGATCAGCTTACAGCCGATCCTTGCTCACCCCACTGAAGATTTGCGAAGGGGATTTTGGTCGGTTCCTGCAGGGTGAGTTACACTAAATACCTTTCATACCCATGCTATGCTTTGATTACCTTCGTTATGAACAATGTGTATATGTTGGCTTATGGTCTCTAAACAAGTTATATGTTTTAATTACAGGATCGAAGCTACGGAATTAGTACAATCAGCCCCATCAATTCATTGTGATACAGAGGTTCGTATACTTTATCTCCAATATTTTTATATGGTGATGTCTACTATAAGTGATATAACCAATATAGGCCTTCTATCTTTTCTCATCCTAATAAACCATATAGGTTTATACTTACCACCATAATTCCTAATAGTAGAACATAAAGTGTATAATTGCTTCTACTAGTATTAGAACTCATAAATCAATGGTTTAAATCGCATCCACCATATTTATTTATTTATCCTTATTTCGAGAAGAATCCTGGAGTAGACTAAATACACCTCTTGAGAAAATTTAAGTACTATATATAGTACTTATACTTGCTTACAAAATTGTAAGCTAACTATGGGCCGCATCTCCTCACAGGTTAATGTATTGAACAATTTCAACAAGGATGAGGATGCACAAGCTACCATCAAGGCATCATGGCAAGACCTTCCAATAGAGATGCTAGAGTTAATAGTTTCAAATCTATCATTGGTCGATCGACTACGATTTCCATCAGTTTGCAAGCAGTGGAGCTCGGTTTCCAACCCAGTTGCACAAGCAAAGGTTTGGCCATGGCTCATGCACTGTGTTAGGCAAGATGGTGCTTGCAAGATGTTTGATCCTCTATGTGGCGTCGAGTATTCTATGAAGGTTGGTCCATTTGATGCCAACGAGCGACAGGCCTTCCGCTTCTCCAAAGACGGGTGGGTGATCGTCACCCAGAGTGACGACAACATCTTCGTCATAAACCCATTCACAAAAGAGATTGTGAAGCTCTCTATGGCCAGCGGCTGGTACAGATTCACTGGCATCTCATTCTCGTCGGTGCCTACTTCACCAGATTGTGTATTCCTGGGTGTGTGTAGCTCTCCCAAAGGCGATGGGATCAAAGTGTGGACATGTCGGCCCAATGAGGAAGAGACCGAGGATAATGAGATATACTACGAGGAAGAGACTGAGGATGAGGAGAGAGACTCCGAGGAGAATGAGATAAACTACGAGGAAGAGGCTGATCAGGATGAGGAGAGAGAGGCTGAGGAGAATGAGATAAACTACAATGAAGAGGCTGAGGATGAGGAGAGTGAGACCGAGGAGGATTATTGGAGTGAGTTTGATTTTGAGAACGACGAAGTCATGTTCCCAGTGGCACGCAATAATCCAGTCTATTTCCGAGGGGAGTTCTACTTCCTTGGGCAGAGGGGCAACCTTTCAGTCTTCAACCCAGGCAACAACGAGTGGAGAATACTCGATAAACCGGAGCCCATCCGCGCTGATCTAACTCCCTACGATGAGGGCAAGGAAGCTTGCTACATGGTTGAGCTAAGAGGAGAACTGATAGCCGTGTTCCATCGTAACGCCAATGAGCCCCCACGAGTGCTCAAACTCGATGAGTCCAAGATGGAATGGGTTGAAATTGAGGACATTGGTGGAGGAGCTTTGTTTTTGGATTACAGGGCATCTATTGCCTTGCCATCATCTGAAGCTGGACATGGTAATAGGATTTATTTCCCAAAGTTTAGTGAAGATGGAAAGAAAGCAATTTTCTATGATCTGGAGGCCAAGAAGTATAGCCCGATGTTCTACGGAGCTAAGGAACCAATGAACTGTGTTTGGTTTGTGCCTAAGTTACAGTCTGATGAATACTCCTAGCCAAGTACTTGTGCGTTACAATGCACACTAAAGTACTCCTAGCCAAGTACTGTATATGTTACGCAACCTCCTAAACCTATGATATAGACAACACTAAGGGTGTGTTTGGTTGAGCTGTGGCTTTTGGAAAAGCTGCTGTGAGCTGTGGGCCGTGGAAAATCTGCTGTGGGAAAAGCAGAAGCCCGTTTGGTTAGAGCAGCTGTCAAACTATAGGTTGTAGAAAAAATATCAGTAATGCCCCTAAAGGCCTGTGGGACTGTTTATATGCAAATTACTCGTAAAAACTTAATTTGTTCAATATTTCATATTTAAAAGGCTAATTTGGAGAATGGCCTAACCAAAACTTGTCACTTGTTTGGTTTGAGGATCCATTTATCTGTGTGTTCAGAAGTACATGTTCATTAGTACGATGAAGAAGGAAGTTATCCCACCAAAACCATGGGAAGACCTCATGATGGACCAACTCATCCTAAGATGGTTTTATTCCTCAAATTAAAGAGAACATTTACTAGAATTGAGCTAAAGAATATCTCAATTATCTTAAAATGTTGCTCAGTTACTTTCTGTTCAAGAACAGAAGTTAGGTTGAGGGCTAACATTCCCCGATTCCTTTCATAATTTTCTCTGGATCTTGAAGCTTGTTTCCCCATAGGTTGAGGGCTATCATATTCTAATGGCATACAAAGAAAATAAAAGGAGAACTTCAGAACTTACACAAAATTCAAAGAAGCATGAAGGTATGGTAAAAATATACATCTCTAAGTCATATAATGTTTTTCGGAGAGCTAGACCAGCACTAAACATTCCAAATTTTTTTTTATTGAAACGATCTTTAGCACTGGAAGGTTTCTTTTCCTGAAGAATAATTCAAACCATAACTATTGGATCGGATCATCTACAAAGATATTGCACAGCAGGATATATTTTTTATCAGATCAGGCAGATAAACAACTTTTTGGTTTATGCTCCTCAAGTTCCAGCCATGCAGCAAAGTCACTTCCCTTCTCCTGGATTCTAATCCTTCCTTTCTCAACTATCTCCAAGGCATTCTCAAAACTCCCTCCATTCCCATTGTCCTGTTCATCTGTTTCTTCAAGCTCAGTTCTCCTGTCCAGATCCACACACATCAATGCTGCCATTCTTTCAGCCAGTCCTGGTACTTCCCTCAACTACATATCATCAAAATACAAGCATAAGACCACTCATGGGAGTAAAAGGCTCTGTAAATGAACACACGCAAAATTTGTATTTGTTGGTCAGTAGACAAAGCTATCAGATGATAGCATGAAACCAATACAGCAGGCCCTAATTATGCAGTGTTGACCATTTATTAACCAACATAAGAAAGCTAAGAATACAAGAGTACAAGACATTAACAGCAAAAAAAACTAGAACACTCTTAAGTTAGCTCAAACTGTAGCTGTCGCTCACTTAACTAATCAATACAGTATAATACATTGACAATCAGCAGTCGAAGCAGGGCGGAGCCAGAAGGGCGACGGGAGACGCGGCGCCGGACGGGCGGCGGCCGGCCGGCTTGAGCACGGGCGGCGTCGCGCCGCCGTCGGAGCAGGGATGCGTCGGGCGCCGCCGTTGGAGGTGAGGTCGGCGTCGCAGGGCGGCGCCGGACGGGCGGCGGCGGCGCAAAAACCTAACCCGCGTCGGGCCGCCCCTGTTCGTCGCCCCAGCAGCGCGTTGGGTCTATTCGCGAGAAGGGAAGGGGAAAGAAGCGAATCGTTTTTTTTCACTACTAATAATCTCATGATTTGTTGACGCATGACGATACAGACTTCTACTAACACGGGCTGATTAATTATGATTAGATAGATCTAGCTATAAAAAGATAAACATAATAACATCAATTTTGCTTAATAATTATAAAACATTCGATTGTGGCCTATTTTTCTAACTGCATGATATATGATGACTATCTCCTATGAGTATGTACATAACTATATTAGTATTTTCCCTATTTCTTCAATATTGTTTTCTATTTCTTACATATATTTTAATTTGGACTAATTTTTTTCTCATAATTAAATAGATAAGAAATTATTTGTCCATATTTCTCCTGTAGCATGAGTATAGTGCATTATATAATTTAAAAATTATATTATAAGTGTATGTAATTTCATGCGTAAAATATGGAATTATAGGATAAGATTTGACTTTTTCTAAAATTGCCGCACCATAGTAGATAGTTAGATAAGTAAATAACCATAAAAATAATATAGTCAAATTGTTTCTTTATTTCATTCGAAACAAGACATTTCTTATGTAAGCATCTCAGGAGAACTTCGAGAGAAGGTAAGAAAAAGGAGAGGTTAGTCATTAGCTCACGCACATGAGGGGAAAAGTTGCTCATATCCATGATATGATATACTCCCATTAATCGATAATATACTAATATTATTTAAAAAAATACGCCGTAATGTGGTGTGAAACTAAAACTTAACCCTATATTCTTCTGTTGTTCAAGATCTTCTTGTTGTTTTCTCGGTCTTCTTTATTTTCGATAATAATATGGCCACATCTACCACTATTACTTGCACATGAATACTAGCGGCTAGCTCATGTCTTCTGTTGTTCAATCTTCTTGTTGTTTTCCCGTTCTTCTTTATTTTCGATAATAATATGGCCACAGCTACCACTATTACTTGCACATAAATACTAGCGGCTAGCTCATGTGTGTGCTCCGTAATACATATTATGTATGTTTTGACTTGTATAAATAATAATAATTTTCTTTGTTAATGATATTATATTTATGGTAAGGCACTTTATTGTTTTTTAAGAACTGGAAAGATATTTTTGCTAAACATAATCTAGAATGCTATAAAGATTAATAATATTGAATAATACATAGTCATATAAATATATATAATTTTTATGGATAAATTAGAGAACGACACTTTTTATGAATCCAATGATCACAATGCACTATATATATTGTTGAAGTCAGTTGTTACTTTGACTATTTGATAGTTATATGGCAATGCATTACAATAGGATTTTTTGAGACAAAAATACGGATTAGTTTTTTTAGTCCTTTTTTTCATGACGAGTTGGGTTTTTTACATTTCTTTAGAGAGGTTTTTAGGGTATAGTTTTTCTAAGGGGGACGAATCGATTTTTTAAGGGAAAAAGGAGAATTAAAGTGCAGTTGAATTGTTTCAGTGTTTTTTAAAGTTTTAATGGAAAGGAGGCATTTTTTAAAGAAACATTTAGTGATCGTGCTTTTAAAATAATTAATATAAATACATATACCTTATATTATCGAGATCATGCTTTTAAAATAATTAAAATAAATACATAGACTGTATATTATCTTATAGAGATTAGATTTAACGATAATAATGTGAATTTAATTTATTAGTTACTTATATATATATATATATATATATATATATATATATATATATATATATATATATATGTGTGTGTGTGTGTGTGTGTCACATATCCCTATCTTTTATCTCCAAAATCGATTCCTTAGTCCTAACGTAAGCCATTCTTAACCACGGCACCGCTGCTAGTTGCCGCCGTGGACGCAGTCCAAGCAAGAAGCTCAACGGTAATGACGATAAGCAATATCTTCCTGTACCGTCAGAATTCTCCATTGTATATTATGGTTTGATTGGTTTATTCCACGGTAGTGTAATATGTACTTGACTATATATATATGTGCATGCTAATTTAATGTCATGAATACTGTTGTAAAAATAACTTGTCTCCCTCGCCGGAATTCTCCATTGTGTATTATGGTTTGATCGGTTTATTCCACGGGAGTGTAATATAGGAATAGGCGTACTTATATATATATATATATATATATATATATATATATATATATATATATATATATAGCTACATGCTAATTTGATGTCACGAATACTGTTGTAAAAATAACTCGTCTCCCTCGCGTTTTGGAATCGTATTTGAAGTTGAATTGCGTGGTTTAAGCTAATATTAATTTTGTTTTACAGTTGAAGTTCTATCAACTAAAGATTTATACACAAAGTAAAACATTTGAAATTTTTCAAAACAATGACCAATATTATTCTGTACTGAGTTGTTCGTGTGTTGCAACGGAATAACCTAAAATTAAACATAAGATGATTATAGTTTATATTTATGATATGAGATTTTAAGAAAAACATATATTCTTCATTTGTTCATTAACTCATCTAAAATGTCTTTTTATTTCTTTTCTTCTGCTCCAACATTAGCTTACATTTTGTAGAAAAAAGCTTTCTCACATATATATAACATATATTTCCTATTTGTTTTCACTCGCTTATATTCCGACGTTTTAATCTCTTCGTCGTGACCTCACCACATTGGTCCACTCGAAAAAAAAACCTCACCATATCGAATGAGATTGGAGGAGGGAGGAAATGCAAAGACGTTAAGGGGGGAGTGTTGTGATAGATGACTAAGTGAGATGTCGTGTGGAAAAAGAGAGTGGGTGGTTGTTTGTTTGTAGACGGAGTTGGCACGAGAAGAGAGGAGATTATTATGATAAGGAAAGTGGATTAGGAAACACAAATAGTATATGGCCAGTAATTTGTGTTATAATTTGGAAAAGTGATAATTAGCTTATATATGTGTTTCATATATATATATATATATATATATATATATATATATATATATATATATATATATATATATATATATATATATATATATATATATATAGGACACTCATATGGGGCACCATGGTGCCCGGGCACCATGGTATCTAATGCACAAAATCACTTAAATTTTTCAAAATTTTCAAATTGTGAGTATATACCTAGTTATAATAATTTGATTCATACCTATACTTATCAACAAAACAACTCAAATTTAACTTTATTTCACAATCCATGATTACATACCTAACTAATTATATGTATGGATGCTATATACCTAGAATCAAAATCTAACAAAAACAAGTTCAAATTCAGTTCAAACTTGCTTTAAACTAGTTAGTAAAGTAGTTAATGTTAATACCTAAGTAATTGAAAAAGTTTCATACTCATTTGAATTGGGTATATACTCAATTTCAACAATGGTGCCCGGGCACCATGGAGCACCAAACAAATTTACTATATATATATATATATATATATATATATATATATATATATATATATATATATATATATATATATATATATATATAGTTTAAATTCATAGAAAATTAATGAATCTAGATTAGAAATGAAGAAGCCAAAACATCTTATACTATGTGTCGGTGAAATAGGAACCGAGGTACCCATTTATCCGGCAAAAGCATCATTATAAAATAAATAGCATGCTGAGAATGTCTTTAAAAATTAAAAAGTAACCCTAGGGTGACGTAGCTAGGGGCCCACTCTGGAGTGTCCTGGGCCCACCTAAGATTTCATATATGGGATTCTCCCTACCTAAGGGGGAATATTGCGTATATGACTCAAAACTCTAAGCATAAAAGTAGCTTGGGACCTGGCTTGGGTCCCAAGCATACCCCAAATATGCCTTAAGAATATAGCCTAAGGTCTGCCTCGGGCCCAGTCCTGTCCTGGGCCCCGGGCTCATCTTAGTCCTTGTATATTCTATGGTCCTCGGCAGGAGGAGCGTAGAACCCTGTAAGATCTATATCTTAAGAGAACGAGCTACAGTTTGCTTCGGGCCCAGTCTGGTCCTACGCCCCGGGCTCACCATAGCCCGCACAAGTCCCGCACTACTCGAGATAGAGGAGTGTCGAGACATACAAAACATAAAGGTGTAAATTGAGGTTTTCCTCGGGCCCGGCCTTGCTCTAGGCCATGGGCTCACCTTGGTCCTGGTATGCCTCACGTCCGTCTGCTCAGAGGGGCGTCGAAACATACAAGACACATAATCATGGAATATTCCTTCATCAACGACACCTTTAAACGCAGGAGGGCGCGACCTCAGAACTCGCTGGGAAGTTGCGCGTGCTCCATAGCTAGCTGTGAGGCCGCATGCCCAGCCATAAATGAAACAGGTTTATGGGGGAGATCCTCGGCTAGTCTGGAGTTGAAAGGACGTGGACAAGACACCATCACTAAGTCACTTAGGACGGTGGAGCCTGGGACACGCGTCGCACATGCCCCGTGCCACTTGATTTAGCCAAACAGGCAGAGAAGCTACCGTGGCACTATTTCGAGCAGATAAGGCCTCGTCAAGCCCACCACACACCATGTGGTGAGCACACTGGCAGAAACCCAACTGTCTCGGACGGAGCCCGAGAGCCCGGGGTAATATGAATTGCAAGACTCGAAGGGTTTCTTAAAGGCTGTGTTAGAGAACCAGTTGGCAACGATAAGACGGCTGATGAGACAAGACTAAGAGTAGATTTGGACTATAAAAGGAAGGGGACCGATACGGATGATTAGATGAAGGCTTGGACTCTCTCGCTTTGTAGCCTAAAAAGGCATTCATTGTACTTAGCTGATCTAGAGAAGACAACGAACACCAACACATGAGTAGGGTATTACACCTTCGGGTGGCCTGAACCTGTATAAACTCCTGCCTGCCTCTCTTCGTTGGGTGGTCAAGTTCCGCGAACCCATCACGATTGCATATACGTCGCTCCTCTCACCGTCAAACCCCCTGGTCCGATCTTCACTCTCGGGGAGGGATCTCTACTCCCTGCTATTCGAGGGACCGCCCCGTCGACACTATGGAACGAACGGAGTACCTACTATTTAAATGTTAGTTTCATGTTAAATATACTTAGTGAATAGGTGATATTTTTTTTCTATT